ACACACACACACACACACACACACACACACACACACACACACACACACACACACACACACACACACACACACACACACACACACACACACAAATGCGACGGTCCGCCACCCCCGGGGTGAAGTGCAAGTACTGAAACGAAACCCTAAAATAACAAAAAAAGATTCACAAAAAAACAAAAAAACAAATAAAAATAAATTAAAACCAAACCAAGAAACACACAAACACAGAAAAAGAATCCGCGGACATATCCATTATGATTACGAACTCACACAAACATTGATTGGAGCACAAAGAAAGTACACTGACTGACAACAATGAAAAGAACATGGCCCGAATGTGAAAGCCAGATGGCAGCAATGGTTGAGGTCCGTTGATGACCTCTTGCCCACTACGGTGTGGACACCTTATTCGCCCACCCTGCACGCTATGAAGGCATAGCGTACTGATGAAAGAAACAAAGGAGGACAGACAAAACATCTAAAAAAAAATAAAGAATATAACCCTAAACGGACAAAACTGAAGGCGACTAAAAAAAACCGCCCCCGCCGCCGGCACCTACTCCTCCTTCGTCGCCACTATGCCCGCCAACCTCCCCTGCGTCATCGCCACCGCCCCCCCTTCGTCATCGCTCATCGGCGGCGACAAAAGGTATCCGTTGGGGGGGGGAGGGTATGGCCGGAGGTTTGGATCTCCGTACGTCTCGGCTATGGCCGTCCACCCGTACGGACCGTGCGAAGGATCGCCCCCCCAACCCCCATTTCACTGGGACATATCTCGCGAAAGGTGGCCCCATCTGCCTTCTCCTTACGATTGCGTGTCCGTCGTGGACTGCCCCTCCTCGGCACCTGCCCCCCCCTCGCCAATCGCCCGTGACGAAGACGATGACGGAGGTGTTTGGGGGTGAGGTGAAGTGGTGGCCTGTCGAGTGCCAGATGACCCCCCTTCGCCGGCTGCCACGGTCGGAGACTCCGCGCTGCTTTCGTCCGCCATCTCTCTCTCTCTCTCTCTATGTGTGTGTGGGTGTATGTGTGTGTGTGGGTGTGAAGAAGGAGAAGAAGAAGAATGAAGAAGAAGAAGAAGAAGAAGAAGAAGAAGAAGAAGACTAGGCGGCGAGGAAGAAAAAGGCCCGGGGTGACGAAGCGCTGCTGGACGCGCAGACGAAGAAAAATGCGGCGAAAAAGAAGAAGAAAAAGAAGAAGAAGAAGAAGAAGAAGAAGAAGAAGAAGAAGAAGAAGAAGAAGAAGAAGAAGAAGAAAGGCGACGAGGAAGGAGAAGCGTCGACGAAGCGGTGCCAGCCGCTGCAACAGAAGAAAAAAACGCTGGCCAATAATAATAATAATAATAATAATAATAATAATAATAATAATAATAATAATAATAATAATTATAAGAAGAGGCGGCATGGAAGAAAAAGGCCCGGGGTGACGAAGCGGTGCTGGCCGGGCAGACTTTGCAAAAAGCGGCCAAGAAGAAAAAAAAAAAAAAAAAAAAAGAAGGAACCCTAGCAGCCAGCTGGGATATAATATAAGATTGAAAAACCTTCTCCGACTGGCTAGCCCTATGGTTAATCGTGGGTGTCATGTAGCCATGTGCACAACCCTAATTTCCCTTCTTCTTTCACCGTGGCCAATCTGCCGTTGATGGCCCAAGTCTTCTAAAAACGAAGAGCATTCATGTTCTGTTTATCAACAAGGATGATTCGCCGGATATTCTGCTTCACCTGCTGACGACGCTGTTGTTGCTGCGGAATGTCCTCATCTCTGAACACTTCGGTGTTTCTTGCATTCCAAAAAACCTCCATCAGTACCCCCCTGCAGCAGAGGGTTATGTAACCCCAAGCTGATGTGTAGGACGAGCCTGTGATACGCAACCTCACGCCCCCTCGCGGCTTCCCGTACAGGGTCGCCGATCAGAGTTCTAGGAGGGGCATGGCCGAGGATTTTTGGTCGTAAGGGTTGAGTCTCCCGGAGGGAACGGGAGGCCCTCGTTTCGTGCCAGAGGTTTTCCCCGGAGTCGAACTGTGGTCGCGGAGTCCCGTGGGGGTCGGATCACTCCGAAACGATAAAATCAAAAAAGGTTCCGCAAAAATGAACTGCCGTCATGCATCGGGACGGAAAAAGGCATCAAGCGGGGGGAGGGCCATGGCGGCGGAGGACAAAACTTCGGGCGTCAGGGGTTTGGGGGATAGGTGGCGGGTTCGAAGCCTTCAGGCCTCATCATCGGCCTCACAAAGTGGCCGAACCCTCAGGTCTTTGCTGTGGAGGTGGTTGGTTTGAGGCCTTCAAGCCTCGGCGTCGGACTCACAGAGTCCGCGCGAAAGTTTCCGGGAGGGTAAAGCAGCGGGAGGACTCGCCGACATCTGAATTCGAAATTGCGCGGGCAGCGCCCCCACACTACGGGAAAGCTCGGGGAAACGTGTCGCTCCCTCGTAACCCAGGACCAGCCGTCGCCAAGAACACGAGTCCCCCTGGCGACACCAGCGACAATCAAACTGCGGCCGCCACACGACATGAGCGGCCGACCAGGGCAACACCGTCAAACCTGTATATGGCAATATTTAAGTTAGAGTCGGGGAATCAAAACGATCAATCAAAACAAACCCGTTCCCCCTTATCTCACAAACCCGAGGCGGGTCTTGCCAACACACTTACTCCGTCCGCCTCAGCGCGCGCTGTACGTCCGCATCGCAATAGACGCTGTCGTCATCTGCGATGGGGAAGGTCGGTAGCGAGATGAGACGATCGGAGGTACGTGATGAACACGGCAAGGTCCCGTGTTCTCGTTCATCCGAACCAACACCGAATCCATACAACAATCGTCGCAACTCTTCTCTCTCTAAGGTGGGTGCGTCGAGGGAAGACGACGAAGTCTAAGCTCTCTCCCCTTGCGGGGGCGTCGACCGTTCACGCGGATGCAAGCGATTGACGTCACCGGTACGGGGGCGAGAAGCTMAAAAAGCGATGACTATTAGTTCAAAAAGGAAAGCAATCGAGAGGGAGAGAGAGAGAGAGTGAGTTACGCCGAGACCGCGCACCAGCGCAGGAAAGACCACTGAGGGGAGGGGAACAACCGGATCAACACACTCGTACTCCTAAGCAGACGGTCCCCCAGTTCAGTTTCCCCGTCCCCGCCCGGACGAGTACATACACACATACNAGAGAGAGAGAGAGAGAGAGAGAGAGAGAGAGAGAGAGAGAGAGAGAGAGAGAGAGAGAGAGAGAGAGAGAGAGAGAGAGAGAGAGAGATTTCTGCCATGCACTTTCCACAGCCAATCGACGGGAAGACATGACGTCGTCCGCTGCGTCCATTGGGTCTTCTGAGGGCATTGATAACACACACACACATACACACACACACACACGCACACACACACACACACAGATCGGGACGTGACGGCGGCGATGGCAAACGGCCGCGTCCCTCCATCGGCCAACGTGCGGACGTCCACCGGCCAGCACTCCACGCTACCGGTCGCCAGCGAAGCGACACGACGGTCGGGGCCTGCAAAAAACAAAAAGTCTACACATATTCGAAAAGAAAAAAAACAAACGGGCACGAAACATGCCACAAACCACAGGGATCCCGCCCATAGACGTGTCCGTTCGTTGAACCGTACTGGAGGACGACAAGGCCGCAAGTGGAAACGTTACCGTATTCAAAAACAAAAAAAAAACAGAAACACAGTCCGAGGTACGGCGGGACACAGGCTCAGCAAAAATCGGCGCGCACTACAGGCTCAGCAAAAATCGGCGCGCACTATAAATCAGGGTCGGCAAAAACAGGCTCGGAGGTACTGGTGGTTTAAGATGGAAGATGTTTTAATTTTTTTTAATTTTTTTTAATTTTTAAAAGCTATATTCTTCTCTCAATTTCACCTCACACTACCTACCTACCAGTACTCCTAATTGTAGGCATACGGGGAACCCCATATCACGAGAGAACGTGCAGGGGCTACTACCGACCTGCAGGTGGGCGATAGAGGACAGCCGGCAGCATCATCAGGGACCATGCCAACAGGACCAATGCCTCCCCTGAGGTCCCCTCCCCTATGAACATCAGCAGACTCTGCTAAATGCCAAATGGGGAATCCTGGTCTATCTCTAGGTGGCGGGCGCCAAGCATGCCCAGGAAGATACATGAGGCCATTGGGGATTGAACCCACGACCTCCTGAATGCCACTTGCGAGCCTTACCAACTAGGCCGCTGGATAGGATGGAAGATTGGGGTGAGACGGCACTTTTTTTTCTTCTTTCTTTCTTTTTTGAAACCTGACAGCAAGCCTCGCTCCTCGACTCAACATTCGACACGTATCTGGACTCATGAAGCAGACACGTTTCGCCTTGTCAGCATTCCCCGCGCCCGCGGCGCTCGTGGGCTAAATCTTTTGGTCGGACCACTCGTCAGCCGCCCGCCCGTTCTCAAGGGCTTGGCGGGCAGCTGGCGTTTGTTTTCGTGTCGTTTTTTTTTTTTTTTTTTTTGGGTCGGCTTTTGGTGGGCTTGCTTGTCGGGGCACTGCGTCTCCAAATGGTTTTGGCGGTCAAGTGTTTTTGTTTCTGTCGTTCTCGCCGTCGCCCGAGCCGCGAGATTGCCGCCCAAGCGACCGAACCTACAAGGCGATGAATCCCCTTTCACACGCAGCACCGCCGTGCCCGCGCCAATTAGCGTCGGGCTTCGTGCACGTGGGGGATGCCTCTCCCGGTCAGGCGGACAAATGGCTTTGCGGCAGGCCATCGGCAGGAAGGATCTGCTCATTGCCATCGCCGACGCCATCGCTGCCCTTGCCAGGAGGTCAGAGAAGGCGAAAGTTCGTCGTGCTCGGTAAATGTCGACATCTTGCAGGCAGCGACTTCCCACAAGTGGAGAGTGCGTGCGATGCGTGGGAATGGGAGGTGGGGAGCAACTTTCACCAGCCGCTTATCAGCAATATCGCCGCAAGAAGAACTTCAAGCCCGACTAATCGTCAGGCGAAGCCCGCGCTTCGACTTCGCGGAAGTCATCATCGATCGGTTACAAGATGCGGAGGGATGAGAGCAATGCAAGTGCGGACACTGAGAGAAGAAGAAGAAGTTGGAAATACCCCGCGCTCCTTCAAGAGTCCTTTTCGGTAAGCCAGATCACTTGATTGGCCACCATTATTTCTTTTTGCCATATACTCAGGGCGTGCTGACACGTGGCGCCTCGTCCCTCTACTGGCCAGATGCGAAAACGGCGGATGCATCTTGCAGGAAACGTAGCCAGATTCATTCGCCATTTTCACATTTGGCGACTGCCGGTAGTGGAATGAGGCTCCTCCAGCAGTTCTTTTTCCTCAGAAGTTTGCCAGGTTCGGTGGCTGGACAAACTTGGTGTTTGATGGGATGCGGGCATACTAACGAAGGTAGGGCTTTCTCTTCTCAGCCTTGGGAGTCATCGCTGTCAGATACATCCTTCGGGGGTTGTAATTGCTGCCAGATACATCCTACGGTGCCCAGTTTTTCTGTTTTTTTTTTTTTTTTTTTTTTTTCCCTGCCCCTCCCCCCCCTCCAGATTCGGAACGGATGAAGTCGGGATGCAAGACAGGTTTGTGTTATCGGGCGGCAGGTCAGTCACACTGTGCGACGCGTATTGGCTGCTGTCACGAGCGAAGCTCAAGAATTCAGAAGAAAGAGGTGTAGGGACTCGCCACACTGCGATTGAAACCAAAGAAAAAGCGAATGCATCTTCCCACAGAAGGTGGCAATAGTACTAAATGATGTATCTGGTGGCCTTCTGTGGGAAGATGCGCTGACTTTCTTTTTCCTTACGTGAGTAGTGCGGCGAGGCCCGTAATGCGTGTGCGGGCACAGCTGGAGGCGACGATTGCGCACAAGAAAAGAGAATTCCATCGGGTGCTGGGCAGGCTGGTGACACTGGATGGGTGGAGACACGGGTTTGATGGGCAGTGCTGGAAGTGTGACCGGACCAACGGGCTTTAGCTCGGTTGGTACACCCAAAAACCGTTGGGGGAAAAAAAAAAAAAAAAAAAAAAAAAAAAAAAAAAACCCTGTTGAAATGCGGACCTGAAGGCGTACTCACACTAACAGTATCTCAAATGTACCTGACGGCATTCACGGCCATACCAGGATGTATCTGGCCGCAATTCCATCCAAAAATACTGTATGTAAAAAAGTCGTACTGCTGTGAGTATGCCCTGAGTTCGAATCCAGATGGAACCATATGACTGAATTAGCTGGGGCCGGTCACTTTCTTTCTTTCTTTCGTTCTTTTTTTTTCCTTTTTTTTTTTTTTTTTTTTTTGCCGGTCGCTTTCACGATGAAAAGTCTTGAGGCTGTTGCCCTTTAAAAAAAAAGAGAGAAAAATAAAGAGGGGGAGAAAAAAAAGAGGAATGACTGGCCCGGTTATCAGGTGGAATTTGGAAAAGGTACTACTACAGTGTGAGTGAGTATCCCCTCCCAAAGTAAAAAAAAAGACGAAAAAGAAAGGTATGCCCTCACAGGAGCTTTCTTTCTTTCTTTCTTTCTTTCTTTTTTTTTTTTTTTCCCTCCTTTTTTAAAAGATCTCTCTTTCTCAGTCGTCCTCGATTGCGACGTAATGTTGTTTTGTTTTTTTTATACCCCCCCCGAAAGAAAAAAAAAATGTTGTTTTGTTTTTGTTCTTTGGAACATGCTCCGTACTCTCACGGAGAGAGATAACTTTACCGAGCTGAGAGCATATTCACCCTACCGGTATGACTTTTTTGCTTTCAACTTCAATTATTTATGGACGTAAATGCGGTCAGTTGCATCCACGCCTGGCCATAAATGCGGTCGGATACATTTGAGGTACAGGTAGAGTAGTGCGAGTACGCCCTGATGGAAGTGTGCATGCAGGAAAAAATCATATATATGCAATATCTAATGTTAAAAATGACAAAGCCGAGGATCCGTTGCTGAGTACCGAGCGAATGTTGAAGGGGCTGCACGAGCATTGGGCCAAGAATCGCCACCCCCCCCCCAAATTTAAATTTATTGATTCAATCCGAATGTTTTTCCTTTTTTCTCCCGCAGAAACTGGCCTGGACATCACTCCAAACGCGATGTTCCTTCCATCAGGGTTGGAATGCCCTGGCATGACAACATTGACTACTTACTTACTTCTGGGAACGATGATCGAAATGGCCTCGCTCCGCTACCCTCCAATGTGCAAAATGAAAATGAACCTTCCGCTAGAACATGGAAAGATACACAGCCATTTTTTTTTTTTGGTCTCTCGAGCATGTGGAGAGTAGTGAAGCGAGACCCAGTATTTGCCACGATCTTTCTCCAAGATCCTCGACAAGGACGGAAAGGAGAGAGAAATTCTGGAGGCTATTTCAAATTAAAAAAAAAAAAAAAAAAGTAAGCGTGCATGGTTTCCACTGTACGTACGTATATTGCATGCATGTGTGCAAGCGCTGTGCGCGCGCGCGCGCGTGCGTGTGTGTGTGTGTAGTGGGGAGAGAGAGAGAGAGAGAGAGAGAGAGAGAGAGAGAGAGAGAGAGAGAGAGAGAGAGAGAGAGAGAGAGAGAGAGAGAGATGGGGTGTTTTTATAAAACAAAGGAGAGAGAGAGAGAGAGAGAGAGAGAGAGAGAGAGAGAGAGAGAGAGAGAGAGAGAGAGAGAGAGAGAGGTGACTAAGGAGGGAACGTAGACGGCTGAGGGATTGTGCATCTGGGAGGGCCTCTGCATCCGCTGGTGGGTGGGCCCGGCGTGGATGAGGGATTGTGGACTACTGGAGTGTGTGATTGTGGGGCCGGGCTCTGCATCCCTTGTGGGTGTGGGGGCTCAGTTGCCCTGGTTTGGATACGTTTCGAAATGATCTTGTATTTCTCTTGCCAACTGGACTTGTTGGGATCCCACGCAGATTTTGCCCGCCCCTAAGCACCCAACCATCAGGGGCAAGGGCCTACTGGGTGTGCCGCAAAGCTCGAGTGATTAAGTGGGCTAACAAACATTTTCCCGAAGATTTTTATTTTATTTTTTATTTTGTAAGAGGGCGACGGCCTTGAGATATCATCGTTGAACTGACCAGCCCCAGGTGATTCACAAGTGTTGAACTTTGAGGGCCAGATCCCACTGGCAAAGAGGATTGGAAGAAATGTCTGAATCTGGACGTGTTCGTGGACAGGTGCGAAAAATTGTGATTGATCTACTTTTCTGCACCTCTGCGTGGGACACGTCCAGATTCAGACATTCCTTCCAATCCTCTTTGCCAGTGGGATCTGGCCCTTATTCTGCTCATCTGATTGTGACTGGATTCGAAGTAACTGTTGGGTCTGATTTATATTTCAACAGTTCGTGGGTGTACCAACTGAGCTACCTTCTTCCCCCGAACAGAACGTACGGTCATTTCTGCTGCATCTGGACTACAAGGTGAGCCAAATACGGCTATGCGGACCGTACGTTCTATTCGGGGAAGACAGTAGGCTCGTTGGTCCAGGTCAGAGACTGAATTCGCAACAGAGGAGGAAATATCTTGCGACCGTCTCTACCACCTCTCTACTATGGACCTCGGGCTGCATTGGATATTGTGGGAACTGACTCCTTCGGCCCAAGCCACGTGATTGATGTCCCTCCGCAGGTACGTACATTCTCTGTCTTTCAACGCGTCTAATACATAAGCTCACCGTATGTAAAAGAAGTAATGCCTTGCCCTCTCACAACCCTCTCACGACCCCTCCATGTATAGATGGCGGCTATGATATTGAGAGGATTGTTGAGCATGAAGGCGACTTGCCAACACCGCCCATTGGTCGTATCCCTTGCTTGCCCAATAGCTCTTTTTTTTTTTTTTTTTTTTTKTTTGGCCTTGAGATATCATCGTTGAAATGGCCGGCCCCAGGTAAGTCAGAATGATTGTATTCTGGTCATCGTGGTTGCATTGCGGTTTGAACTCGGCTCTATATGTCAACAGTTCATTGATAGGTGTACCAACTGAGATAGGCCCATTGGTGCGTTTTTTATTTATTTATTTATTATTAATACTTTTTAAAATTTTTAAATCCCACATTCACATTATATTCCGGAAACATTGTCCAGGAGGCCGGGGACCTCACAATTCCACCCGGAGTTATCCCGGCAGCATCAGCCGGTTTAGCTTCTGAGTTAACCAGATCCTTACTAGGATAACTACTCGATCTGAACCACTGCGTCTACGCCTACTTATCTACTTGTATTCTGCTGTTCTAGTACTATTACTTATGTCACTCCCACCCATAACCGTTCTACCTACCTCCCACAGTCCCAAGGTCCCACCCCTGGCCTAGGCCCAATCTACTCCTACTGCATCCTATCCCTTCCCCTACCAACCCCTGTGAAACAGGGCATTCCTTTCCCCAGGCTGTGCCCCCCGAGTCTAACAAGACTCAGTTTCTACCCTGTCTCCTCTTATTCGTCCTGGGAATAGGGGACGACGGCTTTCCCACGGGCGTACAAGTGGACCGAGGAGCCAGGTCCGACATTGGTGCGTTTTCAATACCAGCAGCCATAGGAAGACGTCTGTCGGGACCTGGTTTCCAGCAGGTGCCGCTCCCCACCAATAGATGGAGCAGACCGACAGATAAGCCCTCAATTCTGAAGATTCTCTTACCACCGCCAGGATAGAGGGATATCGCAAGGGCTATTCTCGAAAAAAAAAAAAAAAAAAAAAAAAAAACAAGGACTGCGAAGGATACTGAGCCTGGCCGCACCACTCACCAACTGCACAAAAGACAAATTTAAAATCAAAGACGTGAATCCTTCCGTGTCTGGTGGGAAGATTCATTCTCATTTTACACATTGGGTGAGTGGTGCAGCCAGGCCCATTGTACAGTCCTAGAGTGCCAGGACTGAAGAAAAGAAGTCTAATATAGGGGACCTTGCAGGCAGTCGTGATAGACGGAGTGCATGAAGGGTGGCACGGTTTTGGGAGGGTTGTGAGTGAGCTTTCCGAGACGACCATTGACTTACCTTACCGTCCAGCTAATGTTGCATAGCTCACTCTAATGCGCAGTGCATAGTTTGTGTGGTGATGTGGTTGGGGAGGCGGTAAGGTAGTGATTATCCTTTGTTTATGTTGTGTCATGTTCAGTATACACAATTCCAAGCTGTTTTGTCATGTTCACTATACA